TTGGAAATGACCTCCCCAGGTTTGCTCCAGGGCCGCCACTGCCTGCAAGTTCTGATAACCGGGAACCACAGCGAGACGCTGGACTTTGACTTTCAGTTTCCTCATCGGCAGAGCAGGCCTAGGTGGGGGGACCAGGAGGCTCTCTCCTGGGAACTACCTGACCTCTTCGGAGGACCCTGGAGAAAAGTAGAATGAGGCGTGGGAGAAGTCTGCGGGTTGGTTTAGGGACTGATGTGAGACCAAAATCGGGCCATGAGGAGGGGGAGGCTGTACAGATCAGGTGACTGCCCCGTACAGACGGGGTGTGGCAGCGCTAAGGGCCTGTCTGGCCGCATCTGCAGGTTGTCAACAGCACGAAGTTGATGGACCTTGACAACAAAACACACCACTTGATTCAGGTTAAAGGGACAGGGATAAAAAAAAAAAAAAAAAAGAAGAAGAATTATAAGCAGGATCTCAAAGAGCTATTTACACACCCATGTTTACAGCAGCATTATTCACAATAGCTAACACATGGAAGCCACCCAGGTACCCACTGACAGGTGAAAGAAAAAGGAAAACGGTGCACACACACCAGTGATGGGGGGCGGCAGGGGCGGGGGAAGTGGGTACGGTTTGAGGAGCCGCTGGGTCACCTAGATGAGGACGCTGGCTGGCTGCCCTGGTACTGGCCAGAACCCAGGAGAAAGCTCGGTGCTGGAGCGGTGTAGTTGGCAGTGAGGGATCCACAGGCTTTAAAGCAGGAACTTCCTGTCCATTCCTTTCATCCTAAAGGTGAAGGAATTGGGGTGCAGACAGGAAGGGCTGCCCAAGTCTGCTAACAGCAGAAGGCCCAAGAAGCCAGATCCCGGCCCAGTGTCCCTTCCACTGACCTATGCTGGCCTGGATGGCACCAGGACAGGAAGTCTCCCGAAAAGGATGGTAAAAGCTGGGCTTTGGGTGGTGGAGAAAAGGAGCATGGGGGGGAAGGCACATGGCTCCAGTATACGAGCCGTCGCAGACAGGGTCTTGACGACGTCCTGGCCACGCCTGTGTTCATGGACGCATTACTCACAATAGCCAGAAAGTGGAAGCAACCCAAATATTCATCAACAGAAGAATGGATGAAGAAAATTTGGGGGCCGGCAGATGGCACAGAGGTTAAGGCTGCTGGATCCCGCACAACCGTCAGTGCCGTTCAAGACTCGGACCCAGTGACTTGAAAATCATATTAGGAGTGTGTGTGTGTGTGCCCAAAGTTCTGAGAGGAGAATGGAGGAGAAGGGATTGAGGCCTGGCCATCCCACCCTACGGGGTGATTTCTCACTTTCCCCTCTCATCGTTTCTGTCTCTCTCTCTCTCCCCAGTGAGCACACATGCCCTAAGGCAAAAACCCCTCCAAAAAAAATAATAGGTATACACACATTAGGGGCCAGCAGGTGGCGTAGTGGTTAAGGACTGGACTCCCACATGGCTGACTGCAGTTGGAGTCCCAGACCTTATGGCTTGGTTTATCACTTTCTCTCTTTCTTTCTTACTCTGTCCCTCTCTGGTAAAATTAAAATAAATAAATAAAGTTAAATAAAATAATTATTTTTTTAAAGAAGTACACACACACACACACACACACATATATATAGCATCCTCCTATAGCCTAGTGGCTGAGGAAACTGGATCGCGCATGGACAATTATGATTTGAACCCTGACCCCAGCAGCTTGTAAAACATTCTGGGTGCAAGTGCATGTGTGCCCAATATCTCAACAGGGTGGAGAAACGGAGAAGGGATTGCAGTGTGACCATCCTCCCCTGGGGGTACATCTCTCTCTGTCTCTCAGATTCTTTCTGGTGAGTGCAGGTATTCTCCGGCAATTAAAATATATATGTATCTATGATAATGTTTCATTCATAAATGAGGCACAGTAAGAGATTAACAATGACAATGATAAAATAGAATAACTACAATATACCATAATAAAAAGTTACGTGAGGGACCCGCAGGTGGCATGGTGACTAAGGCGTTGGACTCTCACATGGTCAACTGAGGTTCAAGTCCCGAACCTGGTCACTTACTTTCCCTCTCTCCCTGATAAGTGCATGTACCCATAACCAAATTTTAAGTAATAATAATGATAAATAAAATAAAATAAATAATGCTTTTTTAAAAAAGGTTATGTGGAATGTCACTGTCTCTCAAAGTATCTTATTGTACTGCACCATGGGTAACTGAAACCGTGGAAAGTGAAACCATGGTAAGGCATCAGGTAGCGTGATTGCATCAGGTTATCTGACGCAATCGAAATCCCAGGGACAGAAAGTAGAATGGTGATTGCCTTTACCATTTCCAGGGCCTGGGCAAAGCGGAAGCGGAAGTCATTGTTCCATGGACATAGAATTTCAGCTCTGCAGGACCAGCAGATGTCACTAACGGTTATGTCACTGGACTCCCATGTTGTCGACCACCTTTCAGGTCCCAGACCTGGCAGCTTGAAACTCAAGAGGGCATGGGATCAGCAGTTAGCGTAATGGCTATGTTGCTGGACTCTTATGTAGTCGACCATGGTTCGAGTCCCAAACCCAGTGGCTTAAACTCACACCCGGCGCATGTGCGTGCATGCCCAAGATCCCAAGAGGACAGTGGAGGAGAAGGGATTGAGGAATGACCATCCCCCGGGGGGTGATTTCTCACTTTCTGTCTCTCTGTCTCTCTCTGTCTGTCTGGCTAGCGCACACACCCTATAGCAAAAACCTCTCCCCCCCCCAAAAAAAAAAAAAAAGCTCAAGCGGGCGTGTGTGTGCATGCCCAAGATCCCAAGAGGAAAATGGAGAAGGGGTTGAGGCATGGTTATCCCTGGGGAGGGGAAGGGAGTGGCTGTGATTTTTCACTTTCTGTCTCTTTCAGTGAGTGCACATGTCCCATAGCAAAAATCTCTTAAAAAATGGCTAAGATAGTAAATTGTATAGTGTGTGTTTACCACAATTAAAAATTTAAAAAAAAAAAAAAACATAGTAGGGACCAGCAGTTAGCCTAATGGCTATGTCGCTGGACTCCCATGTAGTCAACTGTCAGTCCCATCCAGGACCCAGTGGCTTAAAACTCACGCCGGGTGCGTGTGCGTGCGTGCCCAGGATCCTGAGAGGAGAATGGAGGAGAAGGGATTGCAGCGTGGCCAACCTCCCTGGGGGGTGATTTCTCGCTTTCTGTCTGTCTCTCTGTCTGGCGAGCACACGCGCCCGGAAGCAAAAAAACCTCTCCCAAAAAAATAGAATCCATAGAAGAGAGTTGTAAGCAGGACGAGCAGGTGGCATGGTGGTTAAAGCGCTGGACACTCCCACATGGTCGACCAGGGTTCGAGTCCTGGACCTGGTGGCTTGCTTCCTCACTTTCTCTCTCTCTCTCTGTGTCTTTTTCTGGTCAAAATTAAATAAATGAAAAAATAAAATTAAATAATTTTTTTTTTTGGAGAGATTTTCACTGTAGGGCCCGTGCGCTCGCCAGACAGACAGAGAGAGACATAGAGACAGAAAGCGAGAAATCACCCCCCCAGGGGGGATGGTCACGCCTCAGTCCCTTCTCCTCCATTCTCCTCTCGGGATCTTGGGCACGCATGCACACGTACCCGGCGTGAGTTTTAAGCCACCGGGTCTGGGACGTGAACCGCGGTCGACTACGTGGGAGTCCAGCGACATAGCCATTACGCTAACTGCTGGTTCCCCAATAATTATTTTTAAAAAAAGAAAAAACAAACAAAGAAGCTCACACTGGGCATGAATGCATGTGTGCCGGGATCCCAGGTGGAGAATGGAGGAGAAGGGGCTATGGCGTGACCATCCCTCCTAGGGGTAATATCTCACTTTCCCTCTCAGTGTCTCTTTCTCTCTCTGGAGAGCGCACACACCCTAAGGCAAAAACCTCTACAAGAAAACAAAACAACACTGGGAGGCTGCTTGCGTGCCCAGTCCTGAGAGTAGCAAGCACAAGGGGTTGCAGCATAGTCCTCTCCCTGGGGAGCCTTTCCACTTTATCTCTAGCGAGTACATGCAGCCTACAGCAAACTAAAACAGACAAACACAAAAGTGGAGGGGGCAGCCAGACCCTTCTGGCATTTGGCAGTAACAGGAAAGAGATCTAAAGGCGAGAGCACCTGTGGGTAGGAGGGGGCGATTGAAGGTGAGGGAGTGGGTAAGGTGGGGGACCAGGCTGGGGATCGATCACTGTTAAATTCCTGGCCAGGGTGGGAAGGAGGTCCTTGGCCGGGAGGCAAGCGTTCCTCGTGACAGGAGGCAGACCGGGAAGGGGGTGTGGAGGTGTGGACAGGGCCCTGTTTGCCAGATATTGGGAAGGATGTGGCCAGGATGGGGGTGGCTGCACAGTCTTTGCATAAATCTGTCTACCAAGGGGTGAAACCAGCTGCTGTGGTGGGAAGGGGCTGAGCTGGAGTCACGAGCAGCGAGGCGTGTGGGAGAGCAGGGACAGCGAGTGCGGGCAGTCGGTGGTGGGTGTGGTGTCGCCCGCCGGCAGACCGAACCCAGCTGGCCAGCACAGGCCCTCTGTGCCGGCCCAGAGGCAGAGTTCGAGGCCCTCTCCAGCAAGGCCTGTGGCCGGGGAAGTGGTGAGGACGGGCTCCGATCGGGCAGGGCAGGGCAGGGCAGGGCTGAGCCTGGAGATCACCCACAGCGCTCCACAAAGCAGTCCTCCCCGCCGAGGTCCGCAGGCCCTGTCCCCCTCACACGTAGACGGTCCTCTGCTGGACCACTCTGCTCTGACAAAGACAGGCCCAGTGGGGGCCAGCTCAGGGCCCGGGAGTTAAGGCGACTGGTTTGAGTCCCAAGCCCGATGACTTGGAAACACACCAGGTGTGTGTGCGCATGTCTCCAAAACGATGGAGAAATGGAGAAGGGACGGCATGCGGCCACACCCACGGGGGTGCTTTCTCCCCCTCCCTCTGTCTCTGTCTCTGTCTCTGTGGTGAACGCACATGTCCTCTAGCAAATTAAACAACAAAAAACGAGCACCAGTCGTAAGCTTTGTCTTTTTAATAAAAAATAAACTGTCTGTGACAAGCAGTTTCCTGAATCCCAAAACGAAGGAACAGGAGGGAGAGACATCACGCATCACCCAGGGCAGAGGGGACAACGAGGCTCAGATTACCCGGCCAGTCAGGCCAGGGCAGAGAGGGTCACAACCGCCCCAGCTAGAGCAAGAGGGGATGTGGTCAGACTTCAGGAGACTCCCTGGCAGTCAGTGGTGCACAGCTGGTAAGAGGAGCAAGAGGGGAGCCCCCTGCAGGCCCCCAGAGGCCCCCAGGAGAGGCGCTGTGGGTGCCTTCGGAGCAGCTTCCAGGAGCGTCAGCCTGCAGTGGTTCAGAGGGTCCCGGCATGGCCAGGTTAGGGTCTCCTGGAGTAGTATGATTCTGGGGTTCCTGCGAGGGCCAGAATGTCCTCCCGTCATAGCACAGGGTGCAGACAGGGCAGCCCCCGGCCGTGGCAGACGGAGTCTCACGGGGGAGGCAGGCTGCCGTCGGTGCCCCTCCCATGGGAGGAAGGTGGTCTTTCACGCACTCCACCACAGTCAAGGCTGCACTCCTCCAGGGCCCCCTGGCCTGCGTGGCCAGGTGGCTGTCCCACCCAACAGCCCAGTCTGTGCCCAAAGTTTAAGCCACCTCAGTGCCCAGGTGTTTTTCAGCATCCACATCACCGACAGAGGCTCTGGGCTCCTTGGAGGGGGGCAGGTGCTGCTCCCTGCTCAGCGGGGCCTTCTCCCCAGGCGGCAGGGACTCACAGCCCTGGACCTTGCCCCGAGCCCGGAGTGCCCCCAGTGGGGAGGCGAGGAGGATGATGAGGGCTCCGGAAAGCACTACGGCGAGGAGGACAGTGACCGTGAGAAAGTGGGGCCAGTAGGACCGCTGAGCAGCCAGGGCGCCGCCGCCAACCCTGGTCAGCGGGACCTCCACGCTCTCCCGGGGAATGCCTGCCAGTTCAGGGTCCTGGGCCAGCGGCCGGTCCTGGCTGTCCACCCAGTAGGAGACCACGGGGTGTGAGAAGCCATTCTCAGTGGCCCAGCACTGGTAGAGGCCCCCAACTCCATCCCGCAGTACCAGCAAGAGGGAGCCATTGTAGACCGTGGACGAGGCTGCGGGGGTCGCGGCCGTGCCCCGACTCCAGTGGTAAGAGGCCAGTGCCGACAGGTGGGGGCAGGGGAGCTCCAGGATGGAGTTGGGGACAGCCAGGACTTCTTTAACTGCAGGAGAAAGAAAGGGACAGAGTCAAGGGAGAGGGAAGGAGGGAGACAACGGAGTCCCTAACCGGTGACTGGACCCCAACTCTCCTCTCCAACTTGCGTGTCAACTCCTTATCTCAAGTCTCACCCCTTTTCTTTCTCCAGTCTAGACGCCAAACCAACCCCTCATCCATCGAACTCTGGTGCCAGCCCGGCCCCCAGCTCAGAATTCCTGGCCCTCTTCCCTAGAGCCAGGATCCCAATCCATCTCGACTCTGATACTTGGGCTTCAAACCAGGCAACTGCCGGGGAGGAGACTGAGGCAGGAACACCCACGCGGCAGGAACACCCACCCGGCCACAGTCCTCCAGACCCCGCCCGGGTCCCACTCACTGATCTGTGGGCGGCTCTGAGGCCGAAGGCTCCTGCCCATGGGGCCACTGGCACATGCCCACCCTGGGTTCCCTCGTTCCATGTCCTGCTTCCAGGAGTTCCTGAGAGGGCAGGGGAGAAGGAATCATGCCTTCAAACAGACAAAAGTGGGGAGACAAAGGGGGAAAGACGGGGTGCACAGCAGGGAGAGGAGGGGCTTGGGAGACTAGAACAGAGGAGGGGGCAGGAACCAGGGGCCTGGAGCAGCTTTGAAACCACCCAGAAGTCCTTCCCTGCAGGAACCCAGTGGGGACGGGTGGCTGTCAGTAACCCCGGGAAGAAGGGCAGCAGCAGAAGCTGGTGCTCAGGGCCCTGGCCGGCCATCTTCAGCTGCCACCCAGGACTGGCACTCACGGATGGGGCTCAGTCAGGAGGCGGCAGGTGTGGGACTCGGGGTCCCAGGCGCAGTGGGGGTCCCGGGCAAGGACACAGTCCACGCAGCTCTCGTAGACACTACAGTTGGCCCGGGGCACCCTCCAGATGCCTCCCGAGAAGCCCACAAATACAGCGTCCTGGGAGAGAGATGAGCGTCAGGGAACTGCAGCCTTACCTAGAGCTGTCCTGGCGCATCTCCCAGGCCCAGGGAGCCAGCCCAAGCCAGCCCAAGCCAGGCCCACCAGAAGCCACGTGGTGGGTGGCGGCAGGTCCCTTCTCACCTGGGTAGGGGCCAGCTGCAGGTTGCGAACAGGCTCGGGGTCAGGGAACAGCTGGATCTCCTCCACCAGATGAGCGCTGCTGTCCTCGCTCACCACAGCCTTGTGGAGGGAGCCCGTGTCTGTGGGGAGACAGAGAGGGCTGAAATCCCCTCGCTCACGCCGGGCAGTCAGCCTAGGCCGTGCACTCCTCTAGGCCGTGGGGACCGAGTGCTCGGGTAAATGGGCTGAAATCCCTTGGCTTCCTGATCTGCCACTGCCTGACAAAACTGCATCTTCAAGGAGCCCCACTGTGCACTGTCTTCCCAGATGCAGGCCAGTGGGCAGCTGAGAGAGGCTACAGAAGTCACGACAGTGGGGCCAAGCGTGGTGCAGTGATAATGCGTCCAGCTGGATCCATGGGAAGATCCCGGGTTCACAGCCCAGGGCCTCCCTGTGCGAGCTGGGCGTTCACGTGAGCTGCGAGCCTCTCAAATCCTGACAGGATGGAGATGGAGGAAAAAGGATTGTGGTATGACCACACCCCATTGGTGGGTACTTTCTCTTTCTCTCTGGAAAACAACCAAACAAACAAACTTACAAATAAAACAAAATGATGTCACTGGCCTCTTTCACCTCCATCAAGTGTCTCTACTCAAAGGCACCTCAGTGAGATCAATAGCAGCGCAATAGTAATGCAGCTGACCTCACGCGAGAAGGGCCCAGGTTTGAGTCCCAAGACCTCCCTGCACACACACACACGAAGGATATGCACGTGCCTGTGGTGGGGGGGGATAGCGGCATGAAGACACTGTTGTGGGTACCCCTCCCTCTCTGGAAGAAATAAATAAACAAACTACAAAAAAAACTTGAAACTTGGCCCATGACCCGTGGATTAAGGAAGCCAGATCCCACATGGCCCACCATGCCGTTTAAATCCCAGCCCAGGCGGCCTGGATAACAGGCAGGACAAATTATGCACGCGTGCCCCGAATCCTGACAGGATGGAGAAATGGAAGAGAAGGGATTATGGTGCGACCGCACCTCCCTGAGGGGTGCTTTCTCCCTCCGCCTTTCTCTCTGTCTGGCAGAGAGAATAAAATAAGAAAAAAAAGCAATGGCCGCTCTGCAGCTGTCATTCCCGATTCGCCCTCACTCCGCTCTGCTCGACCTAATCTCCTAACGCACTGTCATTTACCTACTCGTGTGCTTGTTGTCTGCGCCCGCCCCCTCCACGAGGACGTGCACACGTACATACGCACAGCCAACGCAGAGCCCCTTCACATGTCCAGGGAGAACCAGTGAGCCTGAGCTGAAGCTCAAGGTCACCCACTTCCCCCAGGCCCCCAGGAGGGGGCGATCTTGCCACATCCCCGCTCCCTCTCCCCCTTCTGCAATGACTACTGAATCCACCTTTCTCTCAAACTCCCATCTTGCCCCACTTGCTCCCAGTTTATGACCTTGTGTCTTCCGACTTCATAAAGAACACAAAAGCCTTTGGATACGAGCTCCCACCCCCTCGGGGTCAGCAGGTGGCGTGATGGTTAAGGGCGCTGGGCTCCCATGTGGTCGATTGTGGTTTGAGTCCCAGACCTGGCAGCTTGCTTTCCCTCTCTCTCTCTCTTTTTCTCTCTCGCTCTGTCCCTCTCTAGTCAAATTGAAATAAGTAAATAAGTTAAATACAATAATTCTTGTTAAAAATTAATTAAGATGAAGGCGCTCCCACTCTCAGATGGCATGGTGGTTAAGGTGCTGGACTCCCACATGTCCAACCGCAGTTCAAGTCACGGACCTGATGACGTGAAAACATGCTGAATGCACGTGTGTCCAAAACCCTAGGAGGGGAGTGACAGGGACTGCGGTGCCCCCTGGGGTGATTTCTTACTTTCCCTCTCATTGTCTTTTTTTTTTTTTTTAAGAATTATTTTATTGGGAACCAGCAGTTAGCGTAGTGGCTATGTCGTTGGACTCCCACGTAGTCGACCGCGGTTCGCATCCCGGACCCGGTGGCTTAAAACTCACGCCGGGTGCGTGTG